TAGCACTCCTGCTATGGGAACAAATCTAACAAATCCTTTGCAAACAATGGAAGGCGGACCCAAGCTGCTCCTCCAGGTCTAGACACTACTTGAGAGAGGCTCTAGATAGCACTTTGATATACACGCTCATTGATCAAATAGTGCATGAGGTCACACACATTCCCCTCTCAGACTAAAAAAAATATCTCAATACATCTCATTTCTATATTCAGGGTTGGCAACATGACAATACTCCAAAAAAATAGATCTATTGTCCAACTTGTAATTAACAATAGCTATGCACCTGTCAACAATGGCAGGCTGTCCTTTTTGATGTAAAAAAATACGCCTAAATTCCTAGAGTTGGTAATAGGTCTCTAAATTTGTCAGACATAAAGGATGAGTTGTAAGGAGTTTCTTCCTTCCTATTTCTGACAAAAATGTATGTAAGGCTATTTCAGAACAAATTATTTTGCTATGTAAGGTGGTTAGGAATTTCAGAAAATTAACCTAACGTTCAATCTGGCCAATTCTAATAATTACATGACTCACACAACAATTATAAAAAAAAATTAAATAAAACCAAATGCTGCCCTCATAGCTAACAGAGCTTTACATTCCACGCTCCTATAGTAGTTAGCTCTTGAGACAGAAATGCACTGAATGACCCCTAACTGATGGCTAGCCTTACCTGAGGCCATCTTTACCACACCTGCCAGACACTAAAAAAGGTAACAGCTTCATGCATCATTTTAATGACCATCATTGTACCAAACAACCAACACCTTAAATCACCAAAACTGTCACAAACAAAGATAAATGACGGGTAGATCAGAGGCGAAAATATTCCAGCTGACAGCTCCCTATTATTATAGATAATTGCAGGGTGGTCAGCATTACTTCTCGAAATGCCAAAATCTGGTGTTTAACATGTTATAAATAAGAATCAAGTAATGTATACAAAAATTGGGGATGATCCCAACAAACGTGTAACATACGGGTCGATGTGTCAAGTTAGCAACCCTGTAATAAACTCTACTTGCTAGACTTATTGAATCACTTGATAAAAATTTAGTGAACTTCCATGAAAAACAGCCAATGGGCCTTTCCTTCAGAATAATGCAATATGCATTAAGTCTATAATTTTTTTTTACTACACTATACAGACTACTACTTATGCAATAAATAAATCAACTTTTGACTGATTGCAATAAAATCAATGAGAAAAAAGGGATTGTATTGTATTGTGATTTTTTGGTCTTATTCAGTGTAATTTCTAATCATTTGAAAATGGAGTACATTTGAAAAGAGACAATCTTGATGTCCAAATACTGTCAATGTCATTACTCCATCTAAATGTGACAGATCTGTGTGCAAACTAATTTACTTGGCCATGAGACTGTCACCAACTATATGGGACTGTCACCAGAATGCCCACCCTGCCACGGACTGATAAGGAATCTGTCTTATCAGTGTCCTTCCTCTGCACGCTCTTGCCCTTTGTTGTGTACTCGGCAACTTAATGGAGAAACAACAGCCACTGATTGTAGAATCAGTGTATAAATTGCCAGGGGAGATCAGAGGAAAAGGTTGGTATGTCTCAGAGCTGGTGTGTGACCTTTGTCAGTAGTGTCATGGAGTACAGCAGATTTTAAGAGTCTAAGAAGAGATGGTCATTGGGGCTGCTATGAACGTCAAATCTTGATATGACAAATTTGTAATTTTTTTATCTAAACATGAAACAGAATAGAAAATAAAAATAAAGGCAAATGGGCGTAAACATTATATCAATTTTTTAAAAATCTAATCAAACTGCTTGTTTCATATTTGTTTTTCAAAACAAAAATGTATGAATGTTTCATATTTGTTTTTCAAAACCTTTTTAATTTCAATTTCTACTACTTATGTCAGCACAATTGATGAAGTGTGTATCCACAATCTAGCATTGATGGAATATATGGCACTTGATTCACACTGTATCTTGCGTTAAAAAACTTCAGTACCAGCACCAATTAGAAATTAAAAGCTTATGTTCTACAACTGACACTCACATCCCAATCAGACTTGAAATTTTAAAAAATAAAAACTGTTAAACATACAAATCTTAGGCAGATTTATGCAAGCCCCCTTGACATTGTACACGTTGGAAGGAATAACAACTCCACAAAAGCGTCTAGTTTCCCTGTTGGATACAGCAATAGTGTAACACCAGACATACAAATATATCTAACCTTGTACTAAATTTTGGAACACAACACTCCTTTTCACACCTCCTGATAGTCTTATTATCATCTTCAATACTGACACCTATTTGTCAAGATGACAGTTTCTGAACAGTAATAAATACAGTGTGACATGAAACAGGGATAAGACTGCCAGTTAGTGAAAAAGTCAGAAAATAAGGCAAGGGGTCCAAGGAGACCTAGGCCAATGATATTTTTGGCTTCCCAAAAATTTGAAATCTGTCAATAGTTGGAAAAAATCTCCATGCTCAATACTGACAGTTTCTGAACATTAAGAAATACAAACAGTGTGACACAAGAGGGGTATACTGAACTCTACTTACTTTAAAAAAACTTGAGCATAAATTGATATCACCAGATGGGTGGGTCTCTATAGTCCAAAAGTTCAATGGTGCAAATTTTTTTTTTCCAAAAATTAAGTCACTTTTCTATCTTTTCTGGACCAATGAACCTTCATATCCATGAGAATGAGATTTTGGACTAATGAGGCAAGAATGACCATCACAAGATGACCAGACCACAGAGGAAGAATCATGACTGGCCAAGAATCAAGATTCTAAATCGTTCCAACCAGCTTCATCAGTTACATTATTTCCTGTTTATCTTACACAATGCAGGTCTAAATGCACCTGCTGATATCATGACCTTTATCAGTTGTGGTATGACATGATAAAAAAACAGAAATAAAATTCTATATTTTTTTTATTGAAATCCTGGTCTCAGTTCTCTACCATAGCTGTCTCCATATAAATAATGCATTTTGATCAAGTGCATACAGAAATGAAGAAATCTGTCCATACCCCTGGAAGCCAAGAAAAATGTCAGCAAACTTCTATAAATCTATCCTCAAGTGAACATGTATACCAGAAGACACACCCAGGGATTTTGTTTTCAGACAAGAGAGAATGTGCAATTTAAAGGGCAAAAAACAATAGAAACCCCTACCTACCACATATCACTTACCAAACCTCATGACATGCAAGCTTGAGCCATAATGCCAATCCAACAAGTTGATGATATTTTTGGAACTCAAAATGTAACTGCCAGATAGCTGCAAGTGCATGCTGAGGAAAAGTTAAGTCAAGGGAGAAATTTTTATAAGCCAAGTGTCAGTCTGTGTATGCTCTGATCAATTGCTATGACTGCTGGAAACAACAGAGTCAATACAATAAAGGCAAATATCCCAAAACAATGACATAACTCTAAAAGGCCTTTACAAAGGATGATTTTGTCTAAATAATGCACCAGACCACCACCCACATGTCCAATTTTAAGTTCAATAGCGTCATGTATCTTCACAAACTTTTAAATCTATCTTTTTCCAAGAGTTTGAACTCTTCACATAGTTCTTTTAGAACTTCAGACACAGAGGGGACACTTTTTAAGGAAAGCCTTTATTAGAGACTCTAGATCTGAACAGTCTTTCGTCTTGAGACTAAAAATTTAGAAATTTCTGAAAAAGAGGACCTTTTTAACCTAACATGACAAAAGACGTAGGATCTAGAACATGTCAAATTTAAATTCAGTGTGGATCTTTTCTTTCGAAATCAAAATGGGCAATTCTTTTTAACCCCCCCCCCCCCCCCCACCAATCCCACAAACCCTCCTTGCCTCTGGGGCAGATGCTACCTTTTGAGCCACTCTTAATCTTTGGATTTTTTTTACAGTTTATAAAGGTTATGAGGTATTCACATTCAAATCCCTTCCTGAACACTTGATTTTAATCTCAATACAAACTCAAGTATATGACTAAAACAAATAAACACTTTCAGGGCAGGTGTCTTCCAGGTACTAATTCCTCCTATCAATGCTTGGAACTCTGTCTCCCATCCTGCCTTTGAGTCATGTATTANGTCATCTTAGAATATGATGTCAGCATAAATGGAATGTCCTTAATCTTTAAATCCAATATAAAACTGCTCAAGTTGCTTTCGTTCTATCTACTGTTTTTGAATATTAAAAATATTATTTAAATATGGATTTCAGGCTTGCAGGCAAGAAAGGTCTTAGGGTTTGAAAGAACTGTCATTTTGGCAGGAAAGGGTTGTCTCTGAATTGCAATTTGTTCTTGGTTCTATGCCATTTTTTACATTGAGCAGGCTAATGCTGTAAAAAGGTCCACTTTTTAGTAAAAGACACCTCCCCCCCCTTTGAAATTTCTGCCCCTGAGCCAAGATTTATCAAACCTGGTAGGTTTTTTGTTAGATGGAGTTGTAAAATGTAAATAAAAATTTTGACAAACAATTCACAATAATCAACTTTCTCACTATATGTCATTTGGGTCTCACTCTTTATGGTTGAGAAGAATGTTTTGATATGTGATAACATTCTATTTTTATATGCTCTTATTCAGGTAGATCATTTTTCTTTTAAAAATGCATTCTTCTGTAAATGAGTTGCAGTGCTACTCTATAAAATTTTAAGGATAAACCTTACTTAGCTAAACGAGGAGCATATTTTTCCATCAACAGAAACACAAATTTCATTTTTTTTTTAATTTTAAAATTATTTATTCATTTTATTAACTTATTAAGGGACTGTAGGTATTAACCACATTGAAAGGTTCACAATCTCCAGATATGCCATTATGGGGAGGGCTATTTTCCTTTTCACTCCCCTATAAACAGTGTATAACACCAATTTGCATTGTGACGGTTGTTTACACTTAACAGGCACAGAATCAGAAATGTGCCAGTGGTAACCAACTCATTCAGATTTGACTCAACTACTGCATTTCCACTACAGAAATAAATCCGTCTGCATTTTCCAATAGATTACCTTTCTTTCTGATGCTTTAGATGAAGTATGCTCTGATTTTATCTGCCCAGGCTTCCATAAACAAGTCATGGAGTCTTCTCCCCCGGTTACCAACGTCACTGTCTGAAGTGACCAATGAAATTTTATTTTACATATTTTCATTTCAGGCCATTTCTAAGAATATCAGAATTCATTTCTGCATAATGATAAATCTGGAAATATTTGTTGCACTGCTACATGCACATTGAAATACAAAAAAAAAAGAAAAAAAAAGAGTCTTTGATTAAGTAATATTACTGTTTTTAACATGCAAGATGTTTGCTGGTTGATCTACAGCTCAGCTCTGTAATACAGAACAAATATGCAATCTTTACTTTGTAACAAAAAAACCAATGTAACCACAAAATTAAACATATCTTAAAACTGTGATACATGCTCAGCAGTTGCAAACAAATAGGCATATAGTTTGTGTCCATTTCTGTTACAGTAACAAAAAGCATGTCAGTTAAATTACTTTGAAGGACATAAAAAGTTCACCTCCTCATCCCAGTTCATGCACCTGACTGTCGCATTATGGCCGCCCTCCAGAGTTGCTACAACAGTCTGCTGTGAATTGTATAGTTCAACAATATTCAAGGAACCACTAAAATTAAAATACCCTCAATAAAATATATAAAAAAGGAGAATCTGACTTTTTTGGGATTTTGGGAAATGTATTGATAATGAGACTTAGATATACTAAAGCATATTTAATGCAAATACATTCTGACTTTTGTTGTGAAGTGTAAGTCCATTCAACACCACCATTATAAATAGATATTGCTCAAGTAAAAAGAAATTTGTATGAATGTAATATATTGTATTCACTTATGCTAATAATTTGATATAGATTTTAATTTACTTTTCTTTTTCATTCTTCTTTTCTTAAAAAAAAAAAAAGAAAAACAGGTCTATATCTCTTCAAGCAGGATTATTTCTACCTGTGCGTCCCAGTGAGTAAATGAAACTTGTCCCTATCCTGGTCACCATGGAAACAGTCCACAAGGTAGTCTACTTGAGATTTACCCTGCAAATCAGATTTATTAATGTGTTGTATTTATGCACTCTATTATTAATATTATACAATCTCATTTTAGATAACATTTAATATTATAATAATATCTATATCCTATTTCATAGATCAGTTTGCAACTTAAATCTTTCCTTAGTGTACCCCCCCCCCCCAAAAAAAAAAAAAAAAAATGTATAAATCTTACTTTACAAATGCTGATAAATAAGCACAGAGAAGAGGGAATATGGTTTATCAAAACTGTGTTCAGATATGGGAACTCTAGCCTAATAATATTTTTAATACTAATAGAGTTACTATTTTCTTTACTACAAATCAACTCGTTTTTATTTCTGAATTCATATAATGAGATAAGTCTTGTTGGGTGCTAGACAGTATGATGTATGTAAAGAGGCAGTCAAATCTGAATGTCTCTTTAAATTCACTGAGAATTCAAGCTTATAAACTTAAAACTCTTAAGATAATTACTCTAAGCGTAAAAAAATTACCTTAAACAAGTCCCTTGGATTTTTTAGTTCTAGCATACTCTCCGACTGTAACACAAGATTAAAAATCAATAAATCATGAGTAAGAAAATAAATCAAATGTTTTGTTATTGTCGTAACAGGACTTAAATATATTTTAAATTACAAAACCTGGACTGCAACTATCTTTTTTATCTTAGCAGATTATTGTTATGGAAAATTAATTTTATCCATATACAACATGAGATTCTCTCTCTCTCTCTCTCTCCATGTAATGCACGGTTATTGAAATACTGCAGTTGAACACTTTTTTGCCATAAAAATTTCACACAAATACAATGAACCTACTCCTACCTGTGCATGTGAACACATGGAAGCACATATAAACACAAATGAAATCAACTACCATTGGTCCCTACCTCAACTGTGTCCCAGATATGAAATGTCTCCATGTGTGTGAGGCAATACACTGCATTATTGTCCTTTCCACCCCAGCCTATCTTATACTGAAGCAAAAAAAAAATTACTTTAATAATAAATTATTTTTAAATGTTAAACTCTGGCTTGCATTCTGCACAAAGATATGGGCCTCACCATAATTTTGTGTAACTTATTTTGATCTATAATGACAAAATTATGACATCATTCATGGCCTAATGTTGATAAATGTTATCATTGTCTCCCAAAAGTAAGGCACGACTTAGTTCCAGCACTGTGCCATAAGGTATATCATGATATTTGTATTTAGCTCACATAACCTACGTATTTAAGATATTAAAGTGGAAACTTTTTAGGACAGGGCAATACTATGGAACGGTATAACTTCCAACACACTGAATTATAATGGAGGTTGTTTTGTCAGTTGATAATCTGACATATAGAGTATTTTAATCTGTCAAATATACTGCACATAATTAAGTTAATTCATTAGCAGATGCAGGCTATATCAATATCAAAATCTTCAACAAATTAAATGTCACTTAGCATTCCAATTCACTATTTTAAGTACACTTTTAAAGACAACAATACCATAAAAAAAGTATGCATCTAATTTCCTTCAATACTGATATTTTTTCCCCTCTGTGCTGAAATTAAACTAAGGGCAAGCATACCACTGTGGATTCTGTGTTGAAAATACACTGCAGTGCATCATCCTCACATGTCTCATTAATGTGAAAGGTACACACCAGTCCGTCTGTGGAGCCACTGGCCAATCTGTCTGGGTGGCTGGGGTGAAAACACACCTAAAACCATGTCAAACATACAATTCTAAATGAAGGATTTTAAATTGTCTAAAATTTTCATTTCTTAAATATTCATTAAGCCTTTACCCAAGTCTATAAAGAACTAAAAATGAATCCTGTAGGCGTTGTCAAAAAGAAGTTTTAACTAATTAAAATTAATTTTAATTAAAATTGCTGATTTGCCAATTAGGTTTTTCAGAACATCCAAAAAAAAAAAAAAAAAAACTTGAATTGTTTTAAGCATCAACGTGAGCTTAAGTGTTACATGTCTAAGGGTGCTTTCCCAGAGATTTAGATCAATCTAGAGATTAAGATTTAGATCAACCTAACTCCCTGGGTGTTCACGCTAAATTGCAGTCAGCCGAGCGGGCACCGTAGTTAATTACCCCCTTACAGCTTTTAGTAGGCGGGACAGACGCTTAAGCCGGCCAAGCTGACAGTAATTTAGTGAGACTCCCCACAGGGATAGATCGATCCAAAAATCTATGGAAAAGAGGTGGTAAATACAATCATTTGAAAATATGAGCATATTAATTAAATTCCAGTAAAATATGCCACTGGTGCTGTTACCTGAGTTATGTCATCCTGATGACTTTCTTTATAGCAGCCCAACATCTTAGACTTTCTACAGTCCCTAAAATCAATACATAAAACAGGATTAGAACAATGTGGAGGCAGGTGTGTTTGTGTGTGTGTGTGTGTTTGTGTGTGTGTGTGTGAGAGAGAGAGAGAGAGAGAGAGAGAGAGAGAGAGAGGTAGGCGAGTCTCCGAGTCAAATTTTGACCTTTGAATTATCATCATTAACTGCTGAACAAGGACATTTATTTTTATAACATGAATTGTTCATATTTTAACACTTGGTTGTCCAACTGCCTCCTCACCAAAACAGCATGTAAACGGTGGCATCCTCTTCATCCGAGTCCATGTCAGATTCCTCATCACACGTCTTCTTATTTTTCTTCTTCTCTTTCTTCTTGGCTTTGAATTGTTCAGTGCCTGCACAAAGTATGCCGTCATCACAACTGATGTCTAGACAGCAGAGCTTGGCTTTTGGAAGACTTTCTGGAACTAAACAATGAAAAATGTGTGTAAAACTCAACATGAGGCCATTAAACATTTGTGTGCAGATGCTTTGGCACTTATTAAAGCTTGTAAGAATTGTTACTGGTTGTAGTTTAGTTTAATGGTCTGACATATAATATTTTTCCACAAAATATGCTTTAAGAAACAGAAATTTCAAATGATATCATAATTATCTGGAAACATATATTAACATACTTTTTACGTGGTGCACCAAAATATACAATGCCTTTCTATTTATGCACTATAACAATAAATATTGTCAGGCTCTATATGTATCCATGTGTTCAGCTTTAAAGCTATTCATATTTTGATAAAAGAATTTTTTTTCTAAGAATCAAAGTAGTACATACCTGTGAATGATTGCACTGGCTGTTTTAAATTTGATCGAATATCCCAGCACCTATAATTAAAAACTGTTATATTTACTTTGAATGCTTGTCAAATCAACTTCGAAAAATTTTACAAAATTATGTAGTATTAGAAGTATTAAAAAAAACTGAAGACCTGTACACCTGAGTTTTGTTCCAGCTGAAGGCACTATTGCTTTCTTCTAGATATACCCATGTAACCTTCAGCTGTCCGTCAAGCAAGAATTTTGCTTCTTAGGGCACAATCCCCATGAAACTGTTCTTCTATGTAGATGAATCCAACTCAGTGTGGACTCTTGCTGAATGCGATCAGATAAACAGATTAATATGCCTTCTCTTGGCGTAGAATAGAATACTAAGTAGCTGGTAATTATATGAGTATGTTGAAAACAAGAGCAGGCCTACCCAACTACCAGACTCGGCACATAAGGATCCTGAATTAACCGGTATATCGGACCACACTACCTGTTTTCAAGGTGTGTGTCAGATCGCATTTCAGAGTATCAGTCAGAACACCGACAGGATGTGCCCAGGCTCGGCTATCACCTTGATTGGATAGTAAACAAATGTCGTAAAATCGCTATATGATTTTAAAACCGGGGGCATAAATTTGAAAACCACCTTTTGGTTCTTGACTGGGAAATACCTTACAGTGCCATCTAGTGATGATGTATACAGCAGATCAGTGTTGGTTTTGCCGAATTTTACTCCTGTGACAGCTTTCTGGTGACCTGAAATGATATTTTGCCTGAGGTCCAGTCAGAAGAGTAATATATGTTACGATCTTATAGTGAATGAGTTGAAGTCACCCCACCATATCATCTTATCTCATTTGGAATATTCCCTAATATGTTATGATCTTATAGTGAATGAGTTGAAGTCACCCCATCATATCATCTTATCTCATTTGGAATATTCCCTAATATGTTTTGATCTTATAGTGAATGAGTTGAAGTCACCCCACCATATCATCTTATCTCATTTGGAATATTCACTGTCATGTTTTTCAATATGGATGGCAAATAAGTGACAGCAAATCAAATGCACACTTTACTGTAAACTTACTAGTCATGTTGACAGGGAAGATTTAATTAAAATGCTAATAGACTTAATTGTAAATAAACCTAAAGACATGGCACGTTATTTAAAGAACAGTTTCAGTTTGAGGCAGACAGTTAGTTCTATTCAGGGCTCAAGAGTTGAGTGAACCATAAATTATAGTGTTTGTTTAGTCATAACTTTCAACCTTAATCATTGTTTTTTATTCTGCTTTGTTTCTGACATAAGTACTAAGTACGGTGACTTGTAGGCCCATGAGGCCAGGTGATTTGTATATCTATATCACATGTCACATTAATAAATAAACAATTACACTTACTATAGTGATAAATACATAAATTACACTAGTTTAACTACAGAAAAATAAATATCACTTGAGTCATCTTCACAAATTTATAGCTGATTAGGTTAGTAAATTAATTCATATTAAGGCAGGTGAATAAATTAATTCATAATGTGACTCAATAAACAATTACACTTACTATAGTGATAAATACATAAATTACACTAGTTTAACTACAGAAAAATAAATATCACTTGAGTCATCTTCACAAATTTATAGCTGATTAGGTTAGTAAATTCATTCATATTAAGGCAGGTGAATAAATTAATTCATAATGTGACTCAATTAAAGAAAAAAAATGAGCAAGTAACCCAGTGGCAATACGCTGAAACAACATAATTTAATTGTAAGTAAATCTAATAAATAGAAAAACAAACCTTCAACTGTCCCAATGGAAGCCAATGTGTTCCTGTTAAATAACCTCACTGTGTGGTTTGAACTGGTGGCTGCAAGAACAGGGTCCTTGTTACACCTGGAACTGGACACTTAAGTGTCATCACTCACAGTTTTAAAAAGGAATTGTCTGGCAGCTTTGGAAAAAAAGCTTAACTTGTCAATTGATCTTAAATTAAAATGTACACTTTATCCTTTAGTATTAAGGCTGCCTGGATTGTGCTTTAAATTTCAGTGAAATTCTTTAATTTATTTTCATCTAAAAAAGATACAGTTTTCAGGCCAGTTTGATTCTTGGATACTTGTTGGTAAGAGATGTTTAGATGCAATCTACTCTCTGCTGTAAAGTATTGGATTATTTATGTATTTATTCATCTGTTTATTAATTTATTATTCTTCGATTTTTAGTTGAGAATTAATCAAACCTTACCATGCCTGCGAGTCCAACAACAGAACATAATCTGGCTGGGGGACTTCCATATAAATGGCTGATTTTTCCACCAGATGGAGCTGACTCAGTTTCTGTGACATGTTTTCAAGTTCTGCCATTCCCAGCCTTTATTTAACTGGTAAAAAAACTGGTAAAAAAAAATTGTCACAGGGAGACAAAGGAAAATGGGGCCGTAGTTTTATTTACAAAACTGTTAACTTAGGTCTGTATTCACTCACTATATCATATTTTAACATAATTCCTGCTTGGCAAACAAATACTGACCAGTAATGCAGAATGTAGGTTGAAGCATTGTATTTCACTCTTCGAAATATATTAATATTACATCTACCAAATGAAATAACTTACATGTATACTTATAGGCTGTTTAATTGGCACTTGTTCAGTTTATGTAGAAAGTGGTTTAATTGAGGAACTGCCATACAGCACAATGAAGACACTCTTGTTACACCACCAAATCCTTATCACCTTCACTTCTGATTCTTTTGAATCTGATTTCAGTCACTTAGTAAAATCTGCTTCAAAGTATGTGACTAGTAGTAAGTAAGCTAAACTTGTTTTAGCCTGTTATAGTACCAGTACTTTCAATTTAAATACAGCACGCTATTCGTTCAACAGTACCCAGAATACTACTGTCCTCAATGGATTATTTCTTCAGCGTGCATGCAGGTGCCAGCTGAGGCTAAAAAAATTATATAGTATGTGTAGGGTTATATGCTTGTTCTAGAATTGTTTCCTGCCTGACTTGTTCACAGGCTCTTAGCAGGGTGCCGTCCTGCATTGCTAAGGCTAGAGGGTAATTACCAATGAAACTCTTGAAGATAGTGGGGGAAAGCTATTCGTTACTACACTGTACACAAACATGTACCTAAAGACCAAAGTTGTTTCTCTGTATGAAAAAATAATAAGGCACATGTAGTTTTCTGGTCACATCATCACAAAACATTTAAGCATTAATTCTCTTTTGAAAATAGCAAACCTCAAGTGCGTAACTCAGACTTAATATACCACCTTGTGTCGATTCTTTTAGCAAGAGTCCAGAATTTAATGTGTACGTTGCACTCCCCATGTGCAATACACCGGAAGTTGATATCGTCTCAGTGACGAAAGTGAGGCTGGGAATTCCCTTGGGTTGTAAATCGCTATAAAACATGATACGTTACAAGATTTTAGTATTCATTGTAATTTAATCATGATTTTGAACAGCGTTCAACATGACGGTATGCAATTAATGGTTGTTCTTTGGAAAACAATTTATTAATTTCAGATTGACAATTTAAAACACGTTTCATCAATGTTGCCGACCGGTACATAGGCCTACACACCTGAGACATGACAAAGGCATAAAATGAAAATGTCAGAAATATGTAGGATCTGTGGAAAAAGTTGTCCAAAGATGACATTCAATTTATAATTTTCAAAATNAAAACCTATACATCTTATTTTCTTCCTTAATTCATTCTAGTTATTCGACCTCCGAACGACTGATTTCCAACAATGGCTCGTACCAAGCAAACCGCACGTAAATCTACCGGTGGCAAGGCCCCAAGGAAGCAGCTGGCCACCAAGGCCGCTCGTAAGAGCGCCCCCGCCACCGGTGGTGTGAAGAAACCTCACCGTTACAGGCCCGGTACTGTAGCTCTCCGTGAAATCCGTCGTTATCAGAAGAGCACTGAGCTTCTGATCCGCAAGCTCCCCTTCCAGCGTCTGGTCCGTGAAATCGCCCAGGACTTCAAAACCGACCTGAGATTCCAGAGCTCTGCTGTCATGGCCCTGCAGGAAGCTAGCGAAGCTTACTTGGTTGGTCTTTTCGAGGACACCAACCTGTGCGCCATCCACGCCAAGCGTGTGACCATCATGCCCAAGGACATCCAGCTGGCTCGCCGTATCCGCGGAGAACGCGCATAAATTCTGCGTTACTCTCAACAAAACGGTCCTTTTCAGGACCACCTACATAATCAAGAAAAGCTAAACCATTATGTTTTTATCAGACCGCTTTTATTCTAATATATATATACATATACAATAAATTTAATTAATATTATATTAATATCAAAAACAAGGAATGAGGTAAAGGCGAAAAATAATCTAAACCATGTCCCTTTTTGAACTGGAACTGCAATTAAGACAAGCATATCCCCTCATCTCAACAGCTAGGGTCCTTCTGAAGTGGCTTTTGCCTTTATCATTGGATGATGCGGTGTCATAAAACATCAGCCACTGAAAATGATTTGAAAATATCCCCCAGCCCTTAAAAGTGCAACATTTATTGCTTGCAAGGCAGATAAAATACAATCCTGCCAACTCGGAGAAGAATTTCATCAGCTGTGTTAAGTTATATAAGAATGATGTGATTTTTTTTCTTCATTCAACAGCTTATATTGAAATAGGTTTTACCTCCAATATTAGGATGTCTATCAGGAGATCTTCTATCTCAATATTAGCTGTTGAGTGAAAAAAAATCATATCAATCCTGACAACTATTGTGAAATTTATTTTGAACTGTTAAAAAATACCCAAGACTAGAAAAGCACTCCGAGAGCGCAGACCTCTGCCAAGGCAGCAGAGTCTCCACCCAATGCAGTTTCACCCCAAACTTTTCATTCTATAATGATTTAATTAGTTTTCTGATTATTGTTTATTGATTCATTATTGATCTGGATCACCGCCAAAAACTAATCACCTGTTCCTTGGCCCACTTCTGACCTCTCCTGAAACTTCCATCGAAATTCATCCATAACTTTTTGAGTTATGTTGATGACAGACAGACGGACAAACAAACAAACAAAGACGGTGGAAACAACCTTCTTGGCAGAGGAAAAATTATTAGGATTGATTTAAATTGGCATAGTCATCCTGGCATTTTAAAAGGCTATATTGACACAAGTACTTTTGTTTGTTGGGGTTCATCAATTATAAGGTGTGAATTGGGGGGGGGGGGGGGGAACTTTGCAGGAGTTTGATGTGCCAGTGTTGAACAGAATGGATGTATTTTGAGGGACGGTCAAATACGTGTGTATAGTACTATAGGCCAAGAAATTTTGTGACTTGACATAGTACATATATTTTCTGTTTATTTTCTGTGCCCTTTGGACTGGAGAAAGATGAAATTCATGAAAGGAGATGGAATATGTGAAAGTTAACACCTGCCCTAATATGTGAAATTTTCTGCTGGTTTATCGCTATGTGGAATTCATTTGGCATGATCGTAACAGATAGTGGTAAGTCATTCGGTGCCATTCTTTTACTCTCACTACGCCTCTTCGTCTATATGTATTCGTCTATATGGCATAACCGTACGTGATTTTATTATGTATTGACTCATTCATTAACAACTAACAGTTAGGTAGACATTGTCTGCGGGTCAGATTATTTATTCATGCCGTGGTAATTATACATCGAACAAACCCATGCAAAACTTGAGATACTTATTAATATATTATGATCAGATTGCAAACATTTGGCATAGCTTTTCTGGAAAGATATGGTTGGTCCTGAAAAGGACCGTTTGTGTAAATCAGTGATTCGTTGATTTACTTAGAGCTGGTGTACTTGGTGACGGCCTTTGTGCCCTCACTGACAGCGTGCTTGGCAAGCTCACCAGGCAGCAAGAGACGGACAGCAGTCTGGACCTCTCGGCTGGTGATGGTAGAACGCTTGTTGTAGTGGGCAAGGCGGGAAGCTTCACCGGCAATACGTTCAAAGATGTCATTGACAAAGCTGTTCATGATGCTCATGGCTTTGCTGGAGATACCGGTGTCAGGGTGCACCTGTTTCATCACCTTGTAGATGTAGATGCTGTAGCTTTCCTTTCTCTTCCTCCTTCTCTTCTTGTCACCACTACGTGCTGCCTTAGCCTTACCGGCTTTCTTGGCGCCCTTGGAACTCACTTTGGGAGGCATGGTACTTGTATTCTAGCGTACAAATTGAACGTTGAATGCTGGAGGATAGGAGTGTTTTATATTTATACAATGCGTTATGCAAATAAGGGGATTCAGCGCTACACGTTGTGAAATTCACAATCGGATTGGTTGAAGTTCCCAGCGCGCAACAGATGCAGCATCGAAGCCGAGGCTAGTCTTCATCAAAAGTTGTAGTAGATATTTCACCTCGTGTTAGAAACGAAAACCCAAGTCCGGCTGTCAATTTCAATCACATGAGTGGGCTGATTGCAATTAAGTCCATGGCAGTAATCACTTTTTCCAAACAGATAGGCTGTCAGTTTCAGTGAGATGTCACATTAAATTACCCTAGGTTCTAGATTTCGGTATTGCCAGCTTGATTTTATATATAGGCCTATTTAGGCTAAAACCCACATCAGCAATACACTGTAATAAAGCCAACACATGAAAAGGTATATATAGGCCTATAGTGAGCAATCTAGCTTAACAGTGCCTTGAAACTTAAGGTACATTAAATGACCTAGCTGTTTGATTAGACCCTGATTTAAATCAAGTTGCTGGCAGCAGTTGCTAAATTGGGTACGTACGGATAAAATTTAGTCCCAAAATATTACACGTCCCTATACTCCCGTTACCGATAGATACATAAAGGAAAAACGGAAAAAACGTCTTTTTAGATTTAAATACCGATAGATCCGATTTTTTTCTGCTGTCCTATATATTTGCGTTCCTATAGATATGACGTCCTCATAAACCCACGTCCTTTAAATCCGCACACCTATAGATTCACGTATTTTTAGATCCAAATACCGATAGATCCATTACAGGTACACTATTGCTCGAAATGGTTGGTATACTACTCAGTACATAAAATGCACTTCTTTAAAACGGCAGTACGCAGTCAGCAATATATTATTCTACTAGATCGTTTTCACACAATACTCAGTGAAAGAACATAAAAAGAACAAAAGTGTGTTCTATATTTCACAACGCTTAATTACTGTTCTAGCGTCAGAACACTGTTTAAAGCGTTCTCAAAATGCAACATTCGAACACGTAAAAAGTGTTCTGAATTTACATGTAAATGTGTTCTAAACAAAACAAAACAAAAAAGAACATAAAAATGTGTTCTAAATTTCACAACGCAAGTTGATATGGGCCTTTTAACCGATTACGATGTCAGATAGATGGATCTAGCGGTACCTGGATCTAAAGATACGTGGGTTTATAGGAATCTGTTGGTGGATCTATCGGAACGTAAATTTAACGAGACGTAAATCTATTGAGACGTGTATGTATAGAGACGTATCTATCGGGGCGAATATTTTATTGGGACGTTTATCTATATGGCGGACCCCGCTAAATTAGGCTACTTTTTGATTAATCAAAATTAATAGTAACAATATAGCGCATACTGTATCTAGCCTACTAGTATTTGAAGAAGTCGAATAACCGCCCTTTAAATTTTGATCTTTGTACAGTTGCACTACCGGAGATATTTCGAAAACGCCGATGATGGTCTGCTTATGCTCATTAATTGATGTACCGTGCTATTCAATCTCATGGAGATTTATAAACAATTGTTTAACCATTTCAACACTGTGCGATATTCACAAATTCTATAAAATACTTGAAATAACGTTTTTCAACTGTTGAGGAAAAATAGAGCCCAGAACATATTAATCCAGTCACAAGAGACCGACATCTACTAGTACATTCATAATTGTCTACCATTCCGGGAAATAATTAAATTTAAAGTCATGTGCAGTAGCTGTTTTTAACGCTTTTTTAAAAAGTAGCCTACAGGAATTAGGCTTCCTAATGATCTTATATATATATCAGTTTGAACTATATGTACATGGACACCTAGAATCTATATTTTATAACAATTTTACACTCAGCCACTGTGAAAAAGAGACAAATTTAACTTTATTCGACAGTTTGGTGCAAAGACAAAAAAAAAAAAAAAAAAAAAAAAAAAAAAAAAAAAAAACTGCCTTTTTAAATTTTATAATTAAGATAAAAACTCATCTTTTTCAAATTATGTTATTAACGTTTTATAACTTCTAAAGTAAGTTTACATTTAAGTGTTGTAAAATGCATAGAAATGTATGACAATGGAATGCGCAATACAAGAAATAATAATAATTATTATAAAATAATTAATATTGCGTTTCTGACACCTTGCCGTATCAAGTGACTTCGTAATGCGTCTTGTCTTTTTTCTAGTCTCCATCTAGTGAGTGTTTCAGAGGTCATAGTGGTTCACAAGCAGAACGGCCTACTCAATGACCCACTGAGCAGATTCAACCTCGAATGTAATTTGTAAACATTTAATCGTCACCTTGGCATGGCATAACAAGGTCCTTATCGCACGATCTTTGCCCAGGTGCCTGGGTAACGTATCAGGGACAGGTTGGTCATAAACTAACCGGCAATGTTGCCGCTTCGCTCAAAAATTCGGCTGGGATCGGGGAACTTGAAGAAAACTTGTCAAAAATTAAAAAGCGGTTCACTTTCACTTAGACAAGAACATAAACATAGGTTTCTCTTCACACGAACAGGAGTTTCATCTGCCTGGAATCATGACGGGCGTGTTAGACAAGCCTCTACATCTGCAGAGTCGTCCGTCGGTTTGCCAGACCAAGCAAGGGTGGTCATATGCGGGGGCGGGGTGATAGGAACCTCGGTCGCCTACCATTTGGCAGAGTTAGGATGGTCAGATGTTGTGTTATTGGAGCAGGGGTCGTAAGTTGTTGATGTGTCTTTGGTTTATAGCGTGGACTTTTTACAATCTCTCTCTCTCTCTCTCTCTCTCTCTCTCTCTCTCTCTGAACATAATAATAATAATAATAATAATAACAATAACTTTGGCATAAGAATTTAAAAAAAAGCATTTTAAGAGACTGCAGAGTCATGATTGGTTTAAGAAAAAGTTAGTTTTGGTTTTTCCCCTTGGAAAGATGCTCTACTAGGTAACCTTGAATAGTTTCAGTGAGAGCACATCCCACATTACACCAGGGGTGTTTGCCAATTTGTACTCCTTTACATCATACACATGCCACAGATGTGTAGCTAATTCTTTACTTTTTTATGTCTACAGGGTGGTAAGGATCTCATATCATGTATATTCAAAGCCTGTTATTGTAATACTTTTATAACTGTTGAAGTAATTGAACCTCAATATGAACATTTTCGAGAGCCACCATATATATGATGTCTGCTAAGATGCACTATTCTTCCATGTTCTCTTCCTGTTTTCTTACCATAGCCTGTCTTGCGGCACTACTTGGCACTCCTCAGGTGTTCTTATCCAGTCTGTTGGTCACCCTGTGGTCAACAGGTCAAACAGTTACAGTTGTGAGCTGTATAAAAAACTTCAGAATGCTGGCCATGCGCTAGGTACTTTCAATTTTTTTTTTTTTTTTT